AAATTGGCGTAAATAAATCAATTTGGCGCGCCCCCCCCCCCCCCCCGCCTGATATTTGTATATGTCCTACAGTTCGATGGGCCACGCCAGAATAATCTCCCCTTTATAGGGTCACAAACATAAAAAAGTGATCAAAATTGAGTTACAAAAATTTTTTTTCCATTAATTTTGAGTGATAGACAATGTTATCCCTCACATTAGGCCATTGCGCACATTATTTGTAGCAAGACTTTTACTCCATCATGCTTCGTTATTGTAGGATCTTTGACAAGAGTTTCACACTGCAGTTAAGAAGTGGCTCCATACAGGTTATATGTACCCTCAAACTATGCCAGTTTGAAGAGGGCGATTGAATTTAAATTTGAAGGATTGTAACGTGGTGGCTAGATAGCCCAATGTGTTCTCTGCAATTCTGCGCAAGGTCAACCTTTTACCCAACGAAACGGTAAAACATTTCAAGTGACTCAGAAAAATGCTTGCCATTCGAGATCCACAACAGCTAGAGAGGTCAGCCTTGCGCATAATTGTAGAAAACATTTTGGGCTATCGAGTCACCATGTTGCAACTAAAAATCCACAGTAGGTTCAGAATCTGGCAACCTCATCAGTTTTCATCCGTTAGGTACACCACTTGAAAAACCGAGATTTTTAGCACAACTACGTGTGAGATAGAGTAAAGCCTTCTCTACAAAATGCTGAAAACCCGAACTCTCTATCTCGTTTCGTTCTGGAGTTATTCGAGAAAGATCCATGACCGTTCTATTAAGAAAGCCATAGTAGAAACTCCGTTTACCTAAAATCGAGTATAAATAACTGCTTATCGGTAACATTTTGAAAAGGCAAATACAGGAATTTGTAGAGCTTGGAAATCTCCGTCGAATGTCGTATTACCGTTTCGAATAAACCGTTAATTTGCAAGTAAAAGAGTAAGGCACCAGAGTAATATTAATTAATATTCATTAGTATTGATTAATTATAAATTATTGTCTTGGAAAAACGTTTTTTAAAACTTTTTTCATCAAACATAACAACAGACCATTGGCTATCAAGCAATGAATGACTTTTCTAGGATTATTTTTTGACTAAGCTACAAGTTTTTTGAAGTGACGATTTTTAATGAATTAATAACTCTGTCAATAGTTATCTGTTTCACAGAGGGTAGTGCTAATGAAAAGTTCTATTAACCAAATATGTAACCACAGAATGTAAGCTTATTGAAAGTAATACTTACCTAATATGACAATCGCTATTTTGACATAAGCAATCCAAGTTGCTGTGTGTCTAGTGTTAATAATTGCAAATGCACTGAATATACTATAATAATAAGAAATAAAAAAGAAATATTATTCGCTCTAGATACAAATGGTGTTTACTCAGTTAGCTAAATTTCTGCATACACTCCTGAGACATACATCGATCAATTCAGTTATTGATGCTGATTCCACATATGACATTAGCTTTGCAGAAAATGGAAGTTTGACGATGGAAACTGCAAAATTCAAGTGAATTTCCTTGGTTTTTGCTATCTGTTTCAAAACAATTGATTTTCTCCACAACGGAAGAATATTTTGAAAAACCGATATGTAACTTTTTTTGAGCTATTATGGCGAGTATGATGATATAAAAAAATTGACTTTATCTCTTAGCTAGAAAGACTTGAAGCATGTGCCAGAAAGGGAAGAGTGATTTTCATTACTAGCTAAAAACCAAGAATTTTCAGGGTCATACCCAGTGAAAAAAAATGAGCGTGATTCCGCCAGTTCCTGCGGGAAAATATTTTTTCGTCGGGAGTTTCAATTTTTCCGCAGGAAATTTTCAGTTTTCGGCGGGGAAACGCTGATTCACGACGA